TCACCATCATTAATTCATCCAGAAAACTTTGCTTTCACATTCTCTTCAAGCCATACACAAAGTAATATCCACACTTGCCTTTGACTCTTTCTTGTATTGCTTTAGAAAAATTCCTCAAAAACTAAAGCTCTTACAACCTCTTAATCTCTCACATAATATCATGACTTGACTTCTCTATTTATATAAAACTAAAACATATGTCCTAATTCAAATAGGACATATAAAACTTATAATCCTAATCCATAACTCGGTAGAATTACAAAAACTTGCACTTCAAGTTATCTTCTTCTTCAAGCTTAACTCAACATTCTCCCCCTTAAGCTTGAACCCATTCTTCTTCAAGTATTGAACTCCAATGAACTCTCTCATCTCTTTAAACTTAATCTTCCCGAGAGCTTTTGTTAGTATATCCGCCTTTTGTTCCTTTCCAGGAACATACTCTACTTCTATGTGTCCATTCTCAACACATTCCCTTATAAAGTGATATCTCCTATGTATACTTCTTCCATGGAAGACTGGATTCTTGGTGAGTGCTAGTGCTGACTTATTGTCCATAAGAATTGTGACTCTTTTGCTAGATGACCCAATGACTTCACCTAACAAGTCTTGAAGCCATATGGCTTGTTTTTCAGCTTTGGTTCCCGCCATAAACTCAGCCTCACACGAAGACATCGCCACCGTGTGTTGTTTTTGAGTACACCATGTAATTGGGAAATTGTTCAGATAGAAAATGTGACCAGCTGTACTTCTTCCGTCGTCTTTATCCACATTATGAGAACTATGACTATATCCTATCAAGCCAGTCTTGTCTCCTCGAGTAAAATTTAAACCATAGGAAGAAGCTTCACGCAAATACCTTAGTACTGCCTTCATTGCTGCTCGGTGCGATCGCTTAGGCTCATGCATATACCTGCTAAAAACTCCCACACAGTATGAGATATCGAGCCGTGTATGAAGTAAATATCGAAGACACCCAATATTTCTTCTATACTCGTTCTAATCGATGCACTCTTCTTCCTGAGCTTTAGACAACTCGACACCGGCTTCCATTGGTATGAGAACCGAGTTGCATTCTCTCATACCAGTTTCTTCAAGAATTTTCTCAGCATATCTCTCTTGCCTTAACATAATACCACCATCATATTGCAAAACTTCAATACCAAGATAATATGTTAACCGTCCGAGGTCACTCATCTCGAACTTTGATGCCATTCCTCTTTTGAATTCAAGTATCAAGCTCAAGCTCGATCCCATGACAAGTAAATCATCAACATAAACAACAACAATGAGTAGGTGCTCCTTCTCTTGCTTTCGATACAGCGATGGTTCCTTTGAACATTTTTCAAACTTTAATTCCTCAAGAATCCCATTGAGTTTGTTGTTCATATGGGGTTTGTGTATTCAAAACTCTTGTTGCTACTCTGTTTATAACATAAGTAGCATGTCTCACTCCTTCTCCCCACAGATAATTGGGTAAACCCATGTATATTAGAATACTTCGAGTCATCTCCATAAGAGTTTTGTGTTGTCTCTCCACCACTCCGTTTTGCTGCGGTGAGTATAGTGCGGTTAAGTGTCTTTGAATGCCTGAACTCTCACAAAAACTTTAGAAATCTTGAGAGAAAACTCTCCTCCCCTATTGGTACAAAATGTCTTGATAGTAGATTATGTTTCTTGTTCGACAATCTTCTTGAATTTTTTGAATTTATTGAACGCTTCACTTTTTTCTTTCAACAAAATAGACCACATATAACGATAATGATCATCAATGAGGACGAATATATACTTGTTCTATGCTGGTGTTGGAAGTGAGATCGAACCGCAAATATCATCGTGAATAAGCTCAATTAGACTCGAAGCACGAAACGATATTGTCTTTGGGAAAGTATGCCTGACTTGTTTCCCAAGTAAACACGAAGCACAAGTGTCTTTTTCAATTGTGATATTTGGCATGCCAAGGACCAATTCCTTCTTCACCATTAATTTCATAGACTCAAAGCCGATATGCCCTAATCTCACATGCCATGTCGCTGACTCATTCATTGCCACCAAGTGAAGACATGTAGTTGGTTCAACATCCAACAAAACTTTGTATAATCGATTCCTGGAACGACTTGCCTTGACCAGCAGCTTCCCATCTCGATCATGTAATGTCAAGAACTCACCCTTCATTCGTATATCACAACCGGATTTTGTAGCTTGATCGAGGATAATAATGTTACTTTTTAATTCCGGAATGAAGTAGACATTAGTCAAGACCTTTGTTTCACCATGGATATGAAAGAGAATATATCCTTTGCCTCTGATGTCAATGCGGGATTCATCTCCAAACCTCACCTTCCATGTGACTGTTTCATTAATTTTTGAAAAATAAGAGAGATTTCGGACATGTGGTTGCTGGCTCCATTATCCAAATACCACACATTACTTCCATCAATTTGTGTTTCAAAAGCGGTTGGAGTCACATTCCTCTCGTTAAGATAAACAACCTCATGCATCATTAACTCTTCAGCTTCATGAGTATCTTCCTCAGATTTCTTGGTTTCTTCGGCTTCTTGGAGCTTAAGTTATCTGTCGGGACAACTAGAAGCATAATGGTCGAGTTTATCACACCGGAAACAAGTTACTGTTAATGGATCCCGCTGTTGATAATCATAGCGTCCTCGTCCTCTTCCTCTTCCACGGCCTACATATATTCCACCATATCCTCTTCCTCGTGATTCGCCATAACTTCCTCGACCGGATTGGGAATCCGTGTTGACATACATTGGCTAGGAGCTTGATCTTCTTTGTCTTCACATGTTCTTTCTTCATAAGCCTTAACCGTCTGCAATGTCTTCAGAGCTTGTGGTTTTAAGATCAAGAACCTATTCAAAAGATGCTACAAGATGGATGTAGCGCTTTCTGGGCAGATTATGGAGCAGCTTTTTAACAATCTTTGGTTCATCAATAATTTCTCCTAAAGTCGTTGATTTTGATGATAATTCTGAGATTTTACCAACGAAATGATCAATGGTATCAGTTTTTTTCATCTTCAACCTATCAAAATTGGACACCAAATTTTGTAACCGGGCTTCGCGCACAAAATCAGCACTAACATATATTAAATTTTGATCGCATCCCAAACAGTTTTGGAAGTTGTAAGATGACCGATTTGCAAAATCAAAAATTCGGGAATAAATTGAAAAAGAAGTGCTCTCGCCATATTGTTCTTTTCGTCATCTTTATCACCTGATTCAATAGATTCCCATACCTTGTGAACTTTGAACAAAAGCTGCATGCGGATGGACCAAACAGTATAGTTGGTGTTAGTAAGCATCATACATTGTATGGAGGAGGAGCCGCTTTCTTTTGGCCTAGGTTGTACAACTACTAACCCAACCATGATTTTGGAAACGTGGATCATGAAACAATGAAACTTTTTGAACAAGATATTTATGAAATATAAAAGACTCTTTCTTTTATTTATTGGGAAAAATTCCTCAAAAACTAAAGCTCTCACAACCTCTTAATCTCTCACATGATATCACGACCTGACTTCTCTATTTATATTAAACCAAAACCTATCCTAATTCAAATAGGACATATACAACTTCTAATCCTAATCCATAACTCGGTAGGATTACTAAAACTTTCACTACAAGTTATCTTCTTCTTCAAGCTTTACTCAACATATACATCGTGTTCTATGTTGATTTCCATAAGGAAGGGTAGAATATACGAGTGTATATTTTGTTTATATTGTATTATTGGTCCAACAAATTTAAATTTATAAGTGTAACTGATAGGCCCAACCAAATTAAGAAATAAACATCTCCATTGTTTATATGAATGAAACTAATTGAAACAAAGCGGGTTACTATTAAATAATTTTGACCCGACTGAAACCAATAAAAGTAAAAACTAACCTTAATGAATGTTGTTAGATAGAGGTTGAGGTATTGGATTTTTTGGAAAAAGTGTAAGAAATGATTTTTGGTCAAATTGTACTCCAAAAATGTTAAGATAGATAAGAAGTTTTACAAATTTCTATACAAAATTTTGATGTTATTTAATAGGGAGAATTACTTAGATAGACCACAATTGTATGTTTATTCCTTAAACAGCCAATTTTTTTTTATTCCTTAGATGTTTAGTGGGATGGGTGTAATTACAATAAACACCATTTGTCTGTTTTCACTTAAAATTGCCACGTCTGATCCGAAAATACCACGTCATACCCGAAATTGCCACATCATCATCGACAATTATTCTTTCATTAATTATCAAAAAGGAAACTGAACAGTTTATTTCTCGTCACTGTTTACAATTGAAAAAAAAAAATAATTTCTCTCTCGCGTTCGAAAGAGAACTTCCTCGCCGCCGACGAACATAGTATTCGCCGACGAACACAGTCCTCGCCGCCGACGAACCATTATGCTCTCTCTCTTTTGCTCTAAACGTACTCGCCTTCAGTCGCTGTGAAGAGAAGAAGTCACCGTGAGTGAGTCGTCGTTTTCGTTGCTACATTGGAGACCTTTCGTATTCCGGTAAGTGTCGAACTGTATTTAGAGTTATTCTGACTATAATCGTGTTTGTTTTTGCTTATTATGGCTGATTGTCGCCGTCGTTTGCTCTATTCATTCAACGGCTGAGTTACAATATTCTTGACGGCTGATTTGTCAGACCTATAGATTCGACGACTGAGTTACTTATCATGTTATGGCTGAGTTACTTATCATGTTATGGTTGAGTTGTCTTAGTTTGTTATTGATGCGGCTGAGTTATAATATTTGTTATGGCTCATTTATTAACTTGTTTTATGTTGTGGGTGAGTTATAGTTTATGTGATGGCTGAGTTATAGTTAATGTTGTGGCTGAGTTATAGTTTATGTTGTGGCTGAGTTATAGTTTATGTTGTGGCTGAGTTATTGTGTACTTTATGGCTGAGTTATAGTTTAGTTGCTGCTGAGTTTGTTGTATGTTGCGGCTGAGTTATGATGTGTTTATACTTATTTCAGATGGCTGCAGAACAAGCAATGCGTTACCCACCGAGACTTTACGAAGAAGGGATGTCTAGCCTCAAGAATAAAAGCATGTGTACCTATTTTAGGATGGCAGATTTCCCTGGGGTTAGGGAATCAATTGGACAAGACGCGTGGGTTGAGATCAAGCAATTACCTCTTGGAATAGTTGCTAAACTAGTTGAAAGCAAATTCGTTTGGTCTGCTAAGACTGTACACTATCTATTGTGTAGACAGTTGAAAATTAAACACAAAGAGCTTTGGTGTTTAGTTGGTGGCCAGCCTATAAGGTTTGGTTTGAATCAATTCGCTCACCTCACGGAGTTAAACATAGATCCAACTCCATCAGAGAAGTTTGAACCTTCAGTTGACTTCAAACAGTTCTTAACAGAAGAACTGAAAGTTCCTGGTGGGGAAGGTCCAACATATGATGAGCTACTTAAAGGATTATTAGTGTGCCGGTCATGGTCTATTGAGAAGCGCAAGTGGTTGGGGCTATTGATTTTTCTAGCCATTGGACTCTACTGCGTGCATCATACCATTTGAAGCTGCAAAAATAGTTTCTGATGATAAAGCCGTGAAGGCTTATCCATGGGGTCGGGTCGCATTTGAGACTATGGTTGATAATGTCAAGTGCTTGAATCCTAGAGGTAGTTCGTACACCCTTGGTGGGCCGGTTTACGTGTTACAAGCTTGGGCATATGATTCTATCAAATGCTTAGGAGAGCACATTTGGGAATTTAGTCGAGAATGAAGAGATCCCGTTGTTTCGATGGCCTGGAACCCGTACACGTTCAGCATTAGATGTGGCAATTGCTGAAGATATCAAAAAGTATAGTGAGGTAACTTATATTTTAGTGATCTCTGTTTTATGTTATGACTGAGTTACGATTTAGTTATCGCTGAGGTATATATTAGTAATGGCTGAGTTATAGTTTAGTTACGGCTGAGTTATAATTAAGTTATGGCTGAGTTATTTTTATTTATGGCTGAGTTATAAATTAGTTATGGCTGAGTTATAGTTTAGTAATGGCTGAGTTATAGTTTAGTTATGTATTTGTTTTGTCTTTATGAGTTATACTTATTGATGTTTGTCTTCTAATGTAGCTGCGTGTGAGTACAATGGTGATGAAGGGTGATGTAAGTGAGCTTTTTCATACGTGGCCAAATCAGACAGAAGAAGACCCAGAACTTGTCAACTTGGTCAATGACATACATGAGGAAAAGCTTGTTAAAGGTTTTTGGGATGTGAAAGTGAATGAGGACAAGAAGAAAGCTGGAAAAATTAGAGCAGCGGTTCAGTCTGAATCTCCCGCTAAGAAGCAGAAAGTTGAAAAGGGTGGTGATTCTGGTGCAGAAGATGCACAGAAGAAGAAGAAGAAGAAGAAGAAGATAAATGAGGAGGTAAAGCCTCATGAACAGAAGAATAAGAAGAAGAAGAGTGAGGAGGTAAAGGTAAGTTATATGTTATATAGTCATATATATTTGTGTATGTTTTGATTATCAATTTTTGTGTATGTTTTGCAGGCTGATAGTGAAGAGGACGATGCTGGTGGAAAGGCGTCACTTAAATTACTCGTGGGTATGGTTTCTGAAATGAAATCAAGTATTGAGACCATGAAATCAAAGGTTGAGACCTTTGATGATAAGTTCACACATGTTGATGAAGAATTCATAAAGATGAAAGGCCTAATTTCCTTCGTTGCCAGAGGTGGAGGCCTAGCTGGTCTCATGAGTGGAGGCAAAAACATTCAGAATGACGACACATTACCACTCAAGAGCTTCTCCAATATCAGAATCAGGGATGCTTTTGGGAAAAAAAAGAACAGACACATGAAATTCAGAAGAAACCGTCAAGCCAAGACTACTCTGTTAATAGTCCCCCGGTAAGCTGAGTTCTCTTAATTTTATGTAATGGCTAAGTTATCCGATGTTTTTACTTAGTTGTTTATGTTATGGCTGAGTTATCAAATACATTACGGCTGAGTTGTTGAATGTTATGGCTGAGTTATATCTCTGTTTTGGCTGAGTTGTTTTATGTTATGGCTGAGTTATAGCTCTGTTATGGCTGAGTTGTTTTGTGTTATGGCTGAGTTATACCTTTGTTATGGCTGAGTTGTTTTGTGTTATGGCTGAGTTGTTTTGTGTTATGAAGTTACAGGAGAAGAAAATTCAGGAAGAAGAAGAAGAAGAAGAAGCAGTTCTGGACAATGACATTAATCGGTGCATCAAGAATCTAAATAAAGATTTCGATGAGGCCACTAATGAGCAAGATGGTCTTCTTGATTTCATTGAGAAATCTCCCTCTCCTGCTAATAAGAAAACGCGGCCTTTGGCCAAATTTAGAAGCACAGCAGAGGAAAGAGGCCGAGGCTCAAAAGAAGAAAGAGGAGGCACTGAAAAAGAAAGAAGATGCACTGAAGAGAAGAGAAGCAGATGCCCAAAAGAAAAAAGAAGTAGAGGAAAAGAAGAAGGCAGAAGCTGAAGCAAGAAGGAAAGGGAATGAGGAAAAAGGCCAGCCAAAGAAGAGAGGTAGAAAGCCTAGAGGTGTTCAACAGTTGAAGAACTGGTGGAAGAACTTGCTGAAGATGTTGGTAAGATTCCTGTTGTGAAATTCAAATTCCCACATGAAAAGAGTCACGGTAAGAAAGTTGTGGTTGAGGCTGAGGACAACAAAGGGGACAACAAAGCTTGTGACAGTGATCTAGAGGATATCACTGACAATAATCTTTTCGAGAACTTCAACGTCTTACCTGAATCTGATGTTGATGAGGAAGAAAGGATTAGGAATGAAAGGATTAAAGAATTAAGGACAGCAAATGTGAAGTTTGCTAAAGATGGGAGTGCATTGGAGCCACAACCAAAAACTCATGTTTTTCCTTTTATTGGAGAGAACGGGCTTACATGCATGAGGAAGAACTGTGTACCTTCTGTTGCAATATTTGATCCTTTCGCCCCTGTTGATCAGGCCAGATTGGAGAGATTATTGGATCACTTAAGTCCATACAAGTAAGTCCTTCGTACCTATGATCCTCTTGATTACTGCTTCTTTACCCCCTTTTTGTGTATATTAAAGTGTGTTGTTTGTTAGGGCTACCCCATATGGCAAGTCAGCCCCTGAAATTGAATTGTTCAAGAGACTCATCACTGAAAGAAAGGATTGGCCAGCTACGGACAATAAGTATGGCTGGCTGTGGGACGATGTAAGTTTTACACTTTTTTGTTGTGACTGAGTTATCATTCAGCTTGATGGCTGAGTTATGGCTGAGTTATGGCTGAGTTATATATTAGTTATGGCTGAGTTATATATTAGTTATGGCTGAGTTATATATTATTTATGGCTGAGTTATATTTATCATACCTTATGGTTTTTTTACAGCATGTGGGTGCGTTTATGAGACTCCTCAGGAAACGGTTCCTTGAAGACCCCTGCCCATTCCACACCAAACGTATTGCGTTTTTAGACCCGTGGTTTACTGCTTTACTCGTTCATGAGTATAATAAAGCATTCAAGGAAAGACCACAAAGGTTTAAATTCGATGGTGGATCTTATGAGCGGGTTATTAACGGAAAAATGCCTGTAGATCAGCCCACTGGTCTGAAGTGGATAAAAGATGTGGACAAACTGTATCTTGTTATACAAGTCGGAGGTGATCACTGGATTAAGCTAGAAGCTGACCTGACAAGGAGCCATATCGATGTCTATGACAGCATTGTGGGTCAGGTAACACCTGAAAGTGAAGAAAATATCATGAAGTGTGTTAAGCCGTTTGCGCAGATGCTTCCAGCAATGCTAAACGCATTAGTCCCTGCTGAAATCCGTCCACAAAGTAAGGCGATGTTTTCCTTCAGAAGGAAAATTATATCCAAGGTCCCTCAAAACCTAAATCTCGGGGACTGTGGCGTGTACTCTCTCAAATTTGTGGAATGCCTAGCACTTGGTGTTAGTTTCGATGGCCTCTGTGATGAAAATATCCAAGGTATACGGCTGAAGATGGCAGCAGACATTTTCGATAAGGCAGCGGATTACCTCAACCAGTTTCAGTAATATTATGTTGTAGTAGACTTATTATGATAATATGTAAATTATTGGAATCATGGCTCATTTGTGGTTCTGTACTGACTGTGACTGTGTTATAGAAATGGGTTATGGCTAAGTTATGGTTTTTTATGGCTGAGTTCCGAGAGACAAATTAAACTCAACAATAAACAAGCATTTTAAATTCAACAATAAACTTAACATTATGGTATTAGAATATATTAAAAAGTATCTTTAATGTAAAAGATAAAATTCACCCGAATATAAAAAATAGAATTGTATTAAATTAGAGTATTACAAGATAGAATAGACAAGCATTACTAGGATTTATCTCTTTGTTGGATACATAAGTCTTAAAAGGTATAAACAATAGCTAATTTGATTATATTCATTTTTACAGTGAATAAAAACATTAAATTCTTCTTATATAAGTGTTCTAATAACATGAATGTATAAATAACCTTATATTTAAAATTCGAGGTTTGGCTGAGTTATGATTATGTTATGGCTGAGTTAAAGATAACGTTACGGCTGATTTATACGTTAGATATGGCTGATTTATGATTTTGATATTCAAATTCGAGGTATGGCTGAGTTATAGTTACGTTCCGTCTGAGGTATAACATAACGTTACGACTGAGTTATATAATGAGGTTTGGTTGACTTATCGTAAATTAAATTCGTGGTTTGGCCGAGTTAATTCCAGACGACGTCGTTTACTTCTTTCTTCTCCCTTATAGTCATAATCGAGAGATCAGATTGGGGATTTTGGGTTCTTATCGATTTCTGGGATTCCCTCCGATTTCTTGGTTTATCTTCGATTAAAGAATTCTACTTCTCAATTTTAATATGAGCGACTACTCTTCGAGTACATATCGTTCAGCACATGGTGCTTACCCTCCATATCTTCCGACGAATTGCGGATGTTGGTGTGGTAACGATATCATCACATACATATCGAAGACAAAGGAAAACCCTTACCGTATCTTCTATAGATGCTCGATTGCTTTGAACGTACTAATTTTTATTTAATTTTTTATTGTTAACATATGGGTATCGATGTTGGTTTTTTGTTAATTAGAGGCCGAATGAGTCGCATTTCTTCAAATGGGTTGATGAGGCATCGGTTGAAGAAATTAAGATGGTCAACGGAAAGGTACAGAGAATAGAAGAAGATGTGACGGACTTAAGGCATCAACATACTCAAAATTTAGATCTCCAAAAAGAAATGTTTGATAAGCTTGAGGAAGAACTGAGTAAGAAGCTTGAGGAAAAATTGATGAAGAAGATTGAGCATGATATGGGTAAGACAGCTTTGAAGACAATTTGTCTACTCTCTGTAATAGGAATCACAATTGTATGGCTATGAGAGAGAATATAATTGTTGTTTTATGATGTTTACACTGATTATGTTATAATTTGTGCTGTTTAAGATTTCTTTTCATGTTAAATGAGAAATGGGGTATGGCTAACTTATAATTATGTGACGGCTAAGTTAATGTGTTCAAGTTACGGCTGAGTTACGAGTATAATTATAATTTATAATTAGCAATTATATAAGTATATAATGGATATGACATATAATAAATATATATTACCAGCAAATATGCATGATAAGATTGTTAATTTTGAAAAGAAAATGGAAAATTTACATAATTTCATCCAATTCAAATTATGTAGTGTTGGTTATGACTAGAAACTAGTTTTTGTGTGATAGTTTTCGAAATGTTACCAACAAAGTCTAAATTATTGATGAATAATATGGTAACATGATTGTATCATATTTAAACCTAGTATTTATGTGATTTAAGTGATTTCATAACTTGATTATAACTATAAATTGACATAACGCATATTTAGGGTATGGCTGACTTATACTACGTTATGACTGAGTTATAGATAACATTACGGCTGAGTTATCAATAACCTATTATTTACGTGATTCTGTTACGGCTGAGTTATAACTAGAAATTGACATAACGCATATTTAGAGTATGGCTGACTTATACTATGTTATGGCTGAGTTATGGATAACATTACGGCTGAGTTATCAATAACCAATTATTTACGTGATTCCGTTACGGCTGAGTTATTGATAACATTACGACTGAGTTATATGTCTGTTAAAATTGCCAAAATGAAGAAAAATTGATAAAAAAAACATGATTCAAAAGATAAGAAATTTTGTTTGAGATTACAAAGAAGTTCAAAAAGAAGTTCAGAAAGAACAAACAACATTCAAAAGCAGAGAACTTGAGAACACATAGGAAACAACATTGAAAACATACAAAAGCAAATAACTGTTGGAATTCAGCAAAAATAGTCCCAGTAAAAATAGTCCCAGCAGAGATCGTCTGCACCAAGTTGTTCAAACATATGGACAAGTTTCTCCCAAACCATTGGATTCAACCACTCGGGCTTATCGAAACCGAATATCCAGCTCTTCCTAATCCCCCGCATCTGCCACATGAAAATGCAACTCGCATCTTTATTAAAGTGTTTCCAAATGATTAATGTTTGCCTTGGATCCCAGTTGTATTGGCGCTACATAAAAGAAACAAAAATTAGGCGAAGAGAAAAGAACCATATGAATGAAAATGCTTTAAACGTGGTGCTTACCAGTAGCATCTTAAACCAATATATCTTGAAGCGGGCGGGAATCAAGCGATAAGTCGGCCACTCGTGGTGCATGTTCTGACGAATTATAGGCTCGATCGCTTCACCCATTATTTTATGGAACTCTCTCCATCTCGTTGTTTTTTGTCAACGAAAGAATCATATAAACCCGGACCAGGGTATAGAACGGGAAGATCATCCCGACCAGGTCCGGCAAGAATCGCGTGAATCTCTGTAAAAACATGTCCTGGCATATGAGGATTGTCTTCCATATTGATGAAAGTTGAAATGAATGGGAAAAAGATTTTTGGTAAAAGAAAACTGATATATAAAGGGATCAGATGAGATAGAGAAAGGAAGAAGACGGAAAGTTGCGTTGGTTAATGTGATGGCTGAGTTATCGTACGGGAAACGAAGACGAAAGGTCGCGTTACAGCTGAGTTATCTGTAACCTTATTGGGCTGAGATATCAGTAACCTATTGGGCTGAGTTATGAATAAACTAATACGGCTGAGTTATCAGTAACATGAATATATTCCGTATGATGAGTTATGTTACGGCTGCGTTATCATATTAAAGAAGACGAAAGGTCGCGTTACGGCTGAGTTATCGTACGAGAGAAAGACGAAAGGTCGCGTTACAGCTGAGTTAAATATATGTTATGGCTGAGTTATCATAATGGCTTAGTCTAGAAATATGGATTACATAAAACAAACATTGAGAAAATCCATGCCAACAACATACCAACAATACTACTTCCGACAAGTTTTTGCATTATGCCCAACTTCTTTACATCGAGAACATGCGTGTGGCTTCCTCGGGCGTTTATTATGAAGTGCAATTTCAACAGTTGATTTAATCCTGCTTTTCTCCGGCCTTCCTGGCTGGGTTGCAACGATCGGAGGCACGCACGGTTGGTTAGTTACAATTTCAGGAACAGGGAGTGCAGTATCCGGAGGTGAGATTGAATCAGCGTACGCGTTAACCAAATAATTGCTCCGGTAGGTCGGATCGGCCAGGGAAATACGAGACACACCCATATGCTCTGCAGCTGCGATTGCATGGACGCATGGTATTTTCTCGTGCTCGAAACGGCGGCATGTGCATCTTTTTGCATCCAAATTTACAACATGCAAAGATGTTCCATATTGTACTTGTACACGTAAAGCATCAATCGGTTGTACTTCAAAAAGTCTTGATGCAGTTAAACGACCCTATTAGAGGGAAGAACAAAATATAAAGTTACGGCTGAGTTATATAAATAATGTAAGAAGGTTATGGCTAAGTTATATAAATAACGACTGAGTTATAATCATGTTATGGCTCACTTATGTAACATGATCGGCTCAGTTACCTCTAACAGTTTTTCAACACCTCGTGAGAGCGTTGTTAGCTGTGATTTCGCATCCTCTCTCCGTTCAGCAAACCATCTAGTCATCATATTCCGTATGGATTCTAACAGTCGAACTATTGGAAGACTTCTACTATTTGATAGTGCTTTGTTCATAGATTCCGCAATGTTCGAAGTCATTAGGTTGTACCTTTCACCCGGGAAATGAACGCGTGCCCACATTTGCACCCCAGATCTTTGGAGATATCCATGTAGTTCAGGATGAAGCGCTTCAATCTCATTGAATGCCTCTGTAAAATCAGCCATCCGAAAACACCTAGCCGCTTTTTTCACAAGTGGGAACAAATGTTTCCCTTTGAACTTTACCAATATGTTCTTGTACAAATGATAAGTGCAAATTCCACGAGAAGCCAACGGATACACATCACCAATTGCTTTCCCTATTGACTTATGTCTGTCCGAGATGATCGCAAAATTCCTCTCGTCTGGAATAGCAACTTTGAGTTGCGTAAAAAACCAACCCAAGAATCATCATTTTTAGTGTCAACAACTGCGAAAGCTATTGGGAAAATTTGGAAATTTCCATCCTGAGCTAAGGCTGTTAGAAGCGTCCCTTTGTAACTACAGTGGAGAAACGTACCATCCACAACAACAACTTTCCGCATGTAAGCAAACCCAGCAACACTCGCACCAAAAGCAATGAAGACATACTTGAATCTGTCACACTCATCAATTTGAAGACGCGTTATTGTACCCGGATTTGCCTGTCTTATCGTGTATTGGTAGGAAGGCAATTCTCCAAAACTTCCCTCAGGAGTTCCCATATCGATCTGTCTTGCAAACCTTAGCGTCTTGTATGACTTCCAATAATCCATTTGTTGGCACCAATATAATAATAAGTCAGCCGTAACTATATATAAGTCAGCAGTATCGTAATGATAACTCAGCCGTATCGTAATGATAACTCAGCCATAACTATATATAAGTCAGCCGACACATAAATGAAAACTCAGCCGTATCGTAATGATAATTCAGCCGTAAAGAAAAGAAAACTCAACGAAACTCAGCCGTATTGTAATGAGAAATCATCCGTAAATGAACGAAAACGCAGCCGTAACTCAAATATAAATCAGTCGTGACATTGTAGTTACCTTTATGCTAAAATGCTTACTGATGATTATTCCAACACTTTTAGGTTTAACTAACGGACCAATGTCACCAAGAAAGTCCCTGTAAAGAGGTCCCAAAACATCAGGTGTTGCTTGTTTGGATCGATTAGATCTCTCCGTCACAGAACATGTGTGTACCGAATCGTATATACGAACAACAAAACCAGGCTCATCTCCTTCTTGAGATGCACGAACTCTCCAAAGACATCCTTCAACCCAGCACGTAATATTCACTACAGTCGTATTTGATTTTGGTACTGAAAAATCAAATACATCTCTCACCGCAAGAAGTTTCACTCGTTTCTCTTACTCGTCTTTGTTCGCGTATCGTTGTCCTACGATGAGGTTTAGCTTAGCCATCTCCACCGTTAAAGACTCCGAGTTACCAATCGATCCTACTTTGCCATAGTAATGACCTATGTTTTGAGTAGAAGCCGGTAAATATTCATCTTTCTCCTCAGGCTCGTCGTACACAGTAAAGTTATCATCATCAGATGACGCACCATCGGAGTCTTCGAAAACGTCAAATCGGGTTGAAAACTCGTCATCTTCTTCTTCAACCTCTGATTCGTACTCTGCTTCATCTTCTTTGACTTCATCTTCTATGTTTTCACTATAATCATAACAGAAACCATCAAATCCTCTTGCGTCTTCATATGTAGATTCTATTCTGAAGCCGAACTGCATGGCCGTTTCATCCTTGCATTCGATCCGTCCTTCATCTTCGCAAACTCAACACAAAGTCGTGGCATCGATTGTCAACAAGCTTAGATAATTCTGCAACTGTCGATCATTGGAGACATATACTGGGGGAGTATCATGCGACATATGTTTCATATGTTTGTACGAGAGCATGTAGCTCATCGTCACCTTGTGGCTGAGTTGATGCAGTCCGTAGTCATCAAGAACCAATTTCACTAGCTTCTGGTGCGTTGTTTCCGCATCTATTTGCACAATTCTACAACCTCTATCGTCAGTGTTAAATACATATTTCTGTTTCTTTGCCCAATTACCTGACACAACAATTACTGGAACCGAATGATCCATCAACGAAAATGAAGAACAGAACTGAAGAACAGAAGTGAAAATCAAGAACAAAAGTGAAGAACAGAAGTGAAAATGAAGAACATAAGTGAAAATGAAAAACAGAAGTGAAGTGAAGAACAGAAAATGAAGAACAGAGTGTAAGAAAAAACACGAGCTAATGGGGGACCTTTTGTATTTCCCTCGTTTATGCTGACGTGAAATTGTGTATTTGAAGTCGTAAGTCAGCCACCAAACAAATTTGTAACTCAGCCAAAATAAATCAGCCATCAACACAAATTAAATTAGCCACAACATGAAAAATATTTAAGTAATTACTAAAATGTTTTTTAAGATGTCAAATTCAGCCGTAACGTCAATAAGTCAGCCGTAACGTAATTAAGTCAGCCGTAACTAGAGGCTATATTAGCAATAAATCTTTTGTCTATAAGTCAGCCGTAACATGGTTGAGTTTTCCGTTAAGTCTGCCAATTACGACTGAGTTATGTCTCTGAAACATAAGTCAGCCGTAACGACATTTGATAACTCAGCCGTTGTCGATAACTCAGCCAACCGGAGAAAGTTAAGTCAGCCGTGTCGATAACATAACTCAGCCAAACTTCTAATAACTCAACCATCGGACTATAACTCAGCCGTAACGGCGGCTGAGTTATTAGCCGTTTTCTCATAACTCAACCAGATTTTTATAAGTCAGTCGTAACTGTTGGCTGAGTTATGATCGTAAGTCAACTGTTGACCCGAAACTCAGCAGTTGTCCCAGAACTCAGCCATAACGTGATATAACTCAGCCGTAACGTACGTTATGGCTGAGTTATTGGTGGCACGCGCCTTTTTGTCTGACGTGGCAGTGGCATTTTTCGTAATTAGTTTTTTCCGGTAACGTGTAAAAAGGGCACGCTGGTAATTAAAAAACATTTAAAGATAAAAAAATCTTTTGGATGGTTTCGGTCAGTACACCTAAAATGTAATCCATCTAAGTAATTTTTTCTATTTAATATTTTGATTCTTAAAATGCTGTAGTATTTTTAATGATTGGTTCGATTTTATTTTTAATTAATTATCTACTATAGTATTTTTGCAACCTTCTTAGCAAAACATTTATTGCTCTATGAATTTATTACATGCATTAAATTTCCTAATTAAAATCGAAAATGATTTTTGGAAATTTTGGCTAAATAGAAAATAGAAACTTTGGCATATGTACAATTGTTTTCGCATATGTGCAATGTCCCACATCATGTAGATTGTTTTTCACAATAATCTAGAACCTATATAAATAGGATTATATGCTTCTAACTACAAATGAACATGAAGCTTGATTTCTCATGTGTTCAAATTTAAAAGTTTTATTTGGTTTAATCCGTTTTCTATTTGAGCCAATTAAAACTTCTAAAAAGTTTCAAAATATTATAATATTTAAAATTTTATAAATATTGAAACTTTTAAAAGGTTCAAATATTATAACCATTTAGGGTTTTATAGAATGTTTAAACTCTAGTTTTATAAAGAGTTTAAGATATTATAAATATTTAAACTCTATTGAAAGTTTAAGTGTTATTAATTTTAACTCTATAGAATGTTTAAAATAATTTTGATATTATATAATCTTAATAATTTTTAAACAAATTTAATCATAATATATTTTTTTTATTTAAGAATAATATATAAAAAGTGTGTCAGGATTAAAATTTAGTTAAATAATAGTTTTAAATAATTTTTAATCTTTTATTTTTTTTAACAATTTTTTAATCAGGAATATGTAATATCGCAGTTTTGCTAAGCTTGCATCGAATGTACAACAGTTTTGTTATTAAACGAACTTTATGTCTATATCTATGTTATTACATTATTTTATATATACACACATATATATATAGTATATGATATAGCCTATATATATAGGATTTAATTGCGGGTACCACCGGAGTTACCTAATTAAGAAACTCATCTCGCTTTAATTAATGTGGCCAAAGAGGTAGGAGAGGAAGAGTTTTCTGAATATTCAATTCCGTGATTGCGGGTATCATTTTGCCTGCATAGATCTCTAGATACTAAATAAATAAGAAAAAAATGACACTTATATTGTAAAGAGAGAAACATAATTAAAGTGTCTGGACAATATTTGACGTGAAAGGAATGGCTAATGATTAAAAGTTGATTTACGTTGCCTCCATCATTGATTAAAAGTTAATCTATCCGTAAATTTTGGTTTATTGTAAAGACGAGAGATCAATGGGAATATATATATAAGAAAATTAACATGTAATTTGGAACAAAAATAAAGAAAATATTAACATAATAAATTTAGAATTACATGTTTAGAAATTATTTTATAACCATAACTTTTTGAGAGGTGTAAAATATGACATATGTAAACCAAGTCGTTTTGGTCCAGTGGTAAAGAGAGGTAAGTTTCGCCACCTGGGTTCGAGTACCATTGGCCACAGAGATTTGAGATTTAACATGGTTTCCCTCGACCCCGGGATATAAGTCTTTGGGCCTAGAAAACCTTTGGGATCACTCCTGAATTATAAAAAAAAATGACATATGTAGTTTGTATTAAAATGGATATAATAATCAAAAAAATTTAACTCAGAGTTTAGGTAGAACGAATCATATAAAGTTGGTTTTGGAATATGCAAGATATGTAAATAAGCAAAGAAATAAGCATTGTAAATCAATAAATCCAAAATTTTGGTGTTAGGGATCTCGTCGAGGATTAACTAGTTAGATTAATTCAAGCAATTAACCCCTATTTCGAAAGCTAAACTTTTGCCTATCAAAATCGCAGGGGGAGATATGCTAGAATTAGATCAAATTCGATAAGCTCACCAAGGACCATGGCCAAACGATCAGCAAACCTTAAAAATCATTCCCATTTATTCATAATCATAGACTCCACTTTTGATGTGTCTTCTCTTCTAAGATATAATCAAGTTCATGAAACCAAACCCTTGAAAAAAGAACAACATGGACATAAATAAACGACAGTCAAAGTAGACAAACATACAACCCCCTTTGAATCACCTTTAGCCACAAGCCCACAACTAATAAATTATTTAGACATTATTCAAGCATATAACTCTCAATATTTTGGATCTCTACTTCATTATAAAATGAAAAAAAAAGTGTATATTATGAACATGCTAATATTTGAAATGTTTCTAAAATGACATTTATCAGCTTATAAGATTAAAATATTCACTCATTTTGCAAAATTAGTAGTATAATATATTACAAATTATTATAATTTTTTAAATTGCATAAAACCCACTGTTATACATACAGTACATTGTTTCCAACCACTATATATTATAATACATTTTCTTTACTATAATAACTCTCCAACTTTGTTTCGTTTGTTTGTTACCATCGTTTCGTATTAACCATTTCCTAGTTGCTAAACACCAATCATAAACAAACAAACAAAAACAAGTGTTTGGACAGATTAGTCTATCATCATTTGGAAGCCATGACCATTAATTAGCAATTAGCATCCACATGAGAACATATTGTATTTATTGAACTCAAACATAAAATATACAAAGAATATAATACTTGACTTGCCTTTGTTTTAGGATCTTGTTCTCATACCTTATTATTAGTTTACATTGCATTTAACGACCACTTCTTGCTTCGTTATTTCTTTCTTTTTATGTCGA